CTCCCAAAGGCGCGGGATTACAGGCTGAGCCACCGAGCCTGGCTCTTTTTTATTTTTATTGTGGAGATGAGGTCTCGCCAAATTGCCCAGGTAGGTCTTGAACCCACGGGCTCAGGCAATTCACTCACCTCAGCCTCCCAAGGCGCGGGATTACAGGCTGAGCCACCAAGCCCGGCCGACAATTTTTTCTTAATTTTTTTTTTTTGAGTCAGAGTCTCACTCTGTCACCTAGGCTAGAGTGCAGTGGCACGCTCACGGCTACTGTAGCCTTGATCTGCTGGGTTTAAGGATCCTTCCGCTTCAGCCTTCCAAGTAGTTGGAACCACAGGAGTGCGCCACAACACCTGGCTAATTTTTTGATTTTTTGGAGAGATGAGGTGCTGCCATGTTGCCCAGGCTGGTCTTCAATCTGTGGGCTCAGGCAGTCCTCTAATCCTCTTACCTCTACCTCCCAAAGGGCTGGGATTATAGGCATGAGCCATGGCGCCTGGTGCTTTTCCTTAATTTTTTTTTTTTTTTTTTTGGTTGGGAGTCTCACTCTGTCACCCAGACTGGAGTGCAATGGCTGCTCCCAGCCACCGCAGCCTCTACCTGCTGGGCTCCGGTGATCCTTCCACCTCAGCCTTCCAAGTAGCCGGAATGACAAGCATGTGCTACCATGCCTGGCTGATTTTTTGATTTATTGTAGAGATGAGGTCTCGCTGCCCAGGCGAGTCTCGAACCCGCGGGCTCAGGCAATCCACTCACCTCAGCCTCCCAAAGGCGGGGGATTACAGGCTGAGCCACCGAGCCCGGCACTTTTCCTTAATTTTAACAGAACAGTCCCAGGGAAGGCTGCAATAGGCCATGCTTAGGTCACATGATCAAACCTCTGGCTGTGGGAGGGGAAGGAGGAATAGGGCATTCTGATTGGCCAGGCGTGGTCACATGGCCACCAGGAGCCCAGTCAGTTTTACAGGTTTGTAGGATGGTTTCCTCACCAGGGAAAGTCACAGATGCTGGACAAACAGAGCCCTGCTTGGGGTGGAAATTTGGCTAAAAATGTCTTTACAAAAGTCAGCGTTAAGGGGCCTTTCTCTCCAGGCGCTCGGCCTAGGAGAGGACTGGAATGTGGAGAAGGGGACATCAGCAGGTGGAGGGCAGAAGGTCAGGCTGCTGAAGAAAGCTCTGGAAAAACACGCAGACAAGGAGGACCTGGTCATTCTCTTCACAGACAGGTAGGAGGGCTGGGGCTTCCTGGCCAGGGCCCCTCAGAGAGAGATAGAAGAATATTCTAAAATGAGGCTCTCCCAAAATATTGGGGACGAGGTGGGATTCTCTAGCTAAGGTTGCGTACCATTTCGGGGGTCCGTAAACCCCAGAATAAGACTCTCTGGTGTAGCCCATTCCTGGTCTTGGTGAAGAGATGGGAGGGGTAGCCTGCCAAGTGTGATGGCCCATGCTTTGAATGTGAGAAGAACACAAGTTATGGGGACCATCTCTTTGCCAGGGGGTGGGAACATGGCAGACAGGGCCACAGTGCACTTCCCAAATGGTAGCCCAGACCGGCGTGGGTGGAGGGAGATCCGGACAGCTTGAGTCCTGGTCCCTTCTGCCTGACCCTCACCGGCCCCCTGCTCTCCTCTGCCCTGCCTTGTCTTTCCTTGCTGTGGCAACAGCTACGATGTGGTGTTTGCATCGGGGCCCCGGGAACTCCTGAGGAAGTTCCGGCAGGCCAAGAGCCAGGTGGTCTTCTCAGCCGAGGAGCTCATCTACCCGGACCGCAGACTGGAAGCCAAGTATCCGGCAGTCTCTGATGGCAAGAGGTTCCTGGGCTCTGGAGGTGAGAGGCTGGGTGCAGAGCACGTGGCCCAGCAGATAGGTCCATTCTCTGCCTTTGTGAGGACACCCCTTGAGCAACATCACGCGAGGGTGTCTCACAGGTCTCCAGTGTAGAACATTCCGAACAGAGCTTATTTTTCAACCCCAAGACTGCTCCTCTGCTGTTTTTGTCACATTTAACAGCCCCCTAGCTGCACAGGCAGAACCGGGGAGTCACTCATGGTTTCTCCTGCCTTTCTGTCTCCTCTTTATCACTGGTCACCTCCCTTTGCTTCCAGGTCTCTTGAATGTTTGACTGTGCCCTCTTGTGCCCACAGTTCACTGCCACCATCCTTGCTGGGCTCCTGGCCATCTGTGGGTGTCTCCCAATTGCTCTGCCTACCTCACCCTCAGCCCTTTCCAGGCCATTCTCCACCCAGCAGCCAGAGTGGTCTTTTTTTTTTTTTTGAATTGGCGTCTCACTCTGTCACCCAGGCTGGAGTGCAGCAAGACGCTCATGGCCACCACAGCCTCGACCTGCTGGGCTCAGGCGATCCTTCGGCCTCAACCTTCCAAGTAGCTGGAACTACAGATGTGCGCTACAACCCCCAGGTCATTTTTGATTTATTGTAGAGACGAGGTCTTGCCAAGTTGTCCAGGCTGGTCTCGAACCTGCCCGCTCAGACAAACCACTCGCCTCGGCCTCCCAAAGTGCTGGGATTACAGACTGAGCCACTGAGCCCAGCCTGGCCTTTTTTTTTTGTCAGTCAGGTTCTTACTCTGTCACCCAAGCTAGAGTGCAGTAGCACGATCACGGCTCACCACAGCCTCAACCTCCTGGGCTCAGGTGATCTTCCCTCCTTAATATCCCAAGTAGCTGGGACAACAGGAGCATGCCACCATGCCTGGCTAATTTTGGAATTTTTTTTGTGTGTGTGGAGATAAGGTCTCACTATGTTGTATAAGCTGGTCTCAAACTCTTGGGCTCAAGCAATCCTCTTGCCTTGGCCTCCCAAAATTCTGAGATACAGGTGTGAACTACCATGCCTGGATCAGAGTGGACTTTATTTTTTATATTTTAATTTTTTTGAATCAGAGTCTCACTGTCATGCAGACTGGTGTTCAGTGACATGCTCATGGCCACCACAGCTTCGACATGCCGGGTTCAGGTGATCCTTTCACCTCAGTCTTCCAAGTAGCAGGAACCACATGTATGCACCACCTTGCCTGGCTAATTTTTTTTTTTTTTGAGTTGGAGTCTCACTCTATCACTCAGGATGGAGTGCAGTACCACGCTCACAGCCACTGCAGCCTTGACTTGCTGGATTCAGGTGATCCTTCTGCCTCAGCCTTCCAAATAGCTGAGACTACAGGCATGGGCTACCATGCCCGGTTAGTTTTTTGATTTATTGTAGAGATGAGGTCTCGCCAAGTTGCCCAGGCTGGTCTCGAACACAGGCAATCCTCTCACCTTGATCTCCCAAAGTGCTGGAATTATAGGCCTGAGCCACCGTGCCTGGCCCTTTTTTTTTTCATTTATTGTAGACATGAGGTCTTGCCAAGTTGCTCAGGCTGGTCTCGAACCCCTGGACTCGGGCAATCCTCTTTCCTTGGCCTCTCAGAGTGCTGGGATTATAGGAGTGAGCCACCATGCCCAGCCAGAACGGACTTTAAAAGATGCAGATCCAGCCGGGCTCGGTGGCTCAACCTGTAATTCCGTGCCTTTGAGAGGCTGAGGTGAGTGGATTTCCTGAGCCCGCGGGTTCGAGACCCGCCTGGG